GCCAGGAAAGGTGAGTGTAGGTAGGGAGTTAGGAAGGGGATAGGTCAGTCCAGGGAGGACGGACAGGTCAAGGGGGCGGGATGAGGTTGGTCGGTAGGAGATGGAGGTGCGGCTTGGGGTGGGAGGAGGGGATAGGTGGGAGGAAGAACAGGTTAGGGAGGCAGGGACGAGTTGGACTGGTTTTGGGATGCGGTGGGGGGAGGGGAGATTTTGAAACTTGTGAAATCCACATTGATACCATTGGGCTGCAGGGTTCCCAAGCGGAATATGAGTTGCTGTTCCTGCAACCTTCGGGTGGCATCGTTGTGGCACTGCAGGAGGCCCAGGATGGACATGTCGTCTGAGGAATGGGAGGGGGATTTGAAATGGTTCGCGATTGGGAGGTGCAGTTGTTTGTTGCGAACCGAGCGTAGGTGTTCTGCAAAGCGGTCCCCGAGTCTCCGCTTGGTTTCCCCGATGTAGAGGAAGCCACACCGGGTACAGCGGATGCAGTATACCACATTGGCAGATGTGCAGGTGAACATCTGCTTGATGTGGAAAGTCTTCTTGGGGCCTGGGATGGGGGTGAGGGAGGAGGTATGGGGGCAGGTGTAGCACTTCCTGCGGTTGCAGGGAAAAGTGCCGGGTGTGGTGGAGCTGGAGGGGAGTGTGGAGCGGACAAGGGAGTCACGGAGAGAGTTGTCCCTCCGGAAAGCAGATAAAGGTGGGGAGGGAAAGATGTCTTTGGTGGTGGGGTCGGATTGCAGATGGCGGAAGTGTCAGAGGATGATGCGTTGGATCCGGAGGTTGGTGGGGTGGTACGTGAGGACGAGGGGGATTCTTTTTTGGTTTTTATTGCGTGGACGGGGTGTGAGGGATGAGGTGCGGGAGATGTGGGAGACACGGTTGAGGGCGTTCTCGACCACCGAGGAGGGGAAGTTACGGTCCTTGAAAAACGAGGACAACTGAGATGTACGGGAGTGGAATGCCTCATCCTGGGAGCAGATGCGGCGGAGGTGAAGGAATTGGGAATAGGGGATAGCATTTTTGCAGGAAGGTGGGTGGGAGGAGGAGTCACCTTCCTTATTTTGCAGGTTTGTCTCCTAATTCTAGCTTCCTCCACAAACAAAAACATCCTTTTGGCATCCACCAAGTCTCCTTAGGATTTTACATGTTACAATAAGATAACCTGTATCACCTAAACTTCCATGGAGAAAGATCTATCTGTCATAAAGACTTTTCATTAGAAATTCACTTCATTCACTTTATCCAAGGAATACGCATGGTGAAAATTTTCTTATCTGCATCTAATGTAATTATATTTTTTTCAGTAATGAGATTATAACTGTGCATTGTAGTCTGGAAAAGGCCAATATAACAGCTTTGGAAGTTCTTCTCAACTTTTACAATAGATTCCGTTGGAATAAGTGCCAATGTTTCATTTGTAATCCTAACAACTTGTTGTGTTTGTACTCTAATCTTTCGTGATTTATGTTCCATGAAATCCAATCCATCCATAGGGTTCCGATGTCTCTATCTTGAAATACACTTTGCATTTCTATTCTTCTTTTGCCCATTTAAATTAACATGCATATGCTTTATGTCCTCTTGATGGTGTGCTTCCCTATTTACCATTGCATCAATGAAACTAGTTACCATATGTTAGGTCCTTTCATTTTTGTCATTATAATGGATAGTGAATAGTGAAGATCCAATATTGATCCCTGAAGGATCCTACTTGTAGTGACTTGATAATTCTAAAATGACCCAACCACCCTTTCTCTTGACAAAACTTCAACATTTCTGATTTTGTCTTTATTCTACTAGCTCTGTAGGGTTAATGATAGGTGCCTTTTCCCTAGGAAGGGGGATTCAAAACAAGGGGGCATATTTTTAAGGAGAGAGGAGAAAGACATAAAAAAGTCAGGAGGGGACTTTTCTTTTACACACAAAGTGTGGTTCTCATGTGGAGTGAACTTCCTGAGGAAGTAGTGAATGCGGGCACAGTTACAACATCTAAAAGATGCTTAGATGAGTATATGAATAATAAAGGTTTGGAGGAATCTGGGCAGGATCAGGTAGGTGAGACTAGTTTAGTTTGGGATTACTTGAGAATGGAAATCCCCATAGCAAGAAAAGGTAAGGTAAGGTAAAAGGTAAGGTACCTGTTAAGGTAAAACATAGCTCAGAAGGAAATAAGCTTTAAACCCACGTAGAGTCATAGAGTCATGCAGCATGGAAAAAGATCCTTTGGTCCAACCAGTCCATGCCAAACATAATCAGTCAGCATAAGATTTCCATTCTCAAACCTAGCTACCTTTTGTTCAGTTACAGGAACAACATGGATATTTAAATTTCTATCTATTTAAATTCCTATTTCTGTTGACAGAAATGCTAAAAAATATGAACTTGATAACTTCCTTAAATTTAAAATGTTTTATAATGAATTAAAATGAATTTATAAAATAACAGTTTGATACTTACAGGGTTAGTGAGGAGCGCCAGACACTCGCAATGCAAGATGATGCATTATCAACCCTGTTATTTGGGAAGTTTCATGGTCCTTTACAGTACAGAATGTGGAGAGAAATGATTCCTACCATTGATCCAGGTACAACTGTTCTACTTCCTTCATTACAAAGCTGTACAACCAAGGGAAGAAAGAGGCACCCAGGCACTATTTAAGATAGTTTGATAATCCTGAGAAGTCCCCTAGTTTTCTATCATACTTCCTGGTTTAACCAGTCTGGAGTTCTTGAAACAACAAAACCATTTCTCTTGTCTCCAGTAGAGGTTGATAGCTTTGAAAAAAAGTGTTTGGAATTCCCTGTGATCCACTTGAAGGATCACCATGACTTTAAGATGTAAAACTTTTATTGCAGTAGGCCTGCTGAAATTAACATTAACCCAATCCGACTACTACACTGAAGGTCAAAAATGATAAGCCCTTTCATTTGTGTGATGACCAAATACAGTATAGCAAATATACTTCACTACTTGCACTCTGGAGAATTATATTTTCTAACAGACTCAGTTCAACATCATTCACAGCTTCCAAGGTGTTTACTTCTCTCCACTTTTGAATCACTGTCAAACGAATAAAGGTAGTATCAGGAGTAGCAGTTCCTCACACCTGCCAATGAAACCATGGATGATCTGCTTTAGGCTTCAACTCTTCTTTTGTGCCAGCTCCTCAGAGCACCCAAGTCACCAACTTTTCAAAAACATATCTAACTTCTCTCTAATTACATTAAGTGATCTGGCCTCCACAGCTCCCTTGGGTAAATAATTACACAGTTACTACCCACTGAATGAAGAAATTCCTTCATATCTCAGTTTTAAATGAGTAACGTTGCATTTTTTTCTCTTCAAATTATCATCCAATAGCCTCTTGAAAACATCAGTTGAACCTGTCCACATTTTCAGTCAATATGTTCAATATCCTAACTACTCACTGTGTGAAAAACGTTTTTCTCACTGCACACTTGCTTCTTTTGCATATCACTTTAAATCTGTGCCCTCTTATTTAGCTTCCTTTCTTACAAGCAGTAACAGCCTGTCCCTATCTAATCTATTCAGCCAAATCATAATTTTGAAAACCTTTGTCAAGTCTCCCAGGCTTCTTCTCTCTAAGGGAAACAGTCTCATCTTCTTTAATCTATCCGCATAACTTCTGTTTTTTGGATTAAAAGACAGCAAAAAAATTGTAATATTGCAAACCTTCAGTGCGGATATTTTGTCAATTTGATTCAGAAAGTGACCTGAATGCTGAAAGTGGAGCTGTTCAGTCCAACCAGTTAAAATCCAATTTGAAGATGTGATGGCAATTTCCTGAAGATACTCGATCAATATTATCTATTTCGCACATCCAAATATTCTGGATCCAGAAAAACATGAAATTTGGTTAATTGCTTCACCAAAATCAGTACTCTGTTTATTCTTCTGTCATTACTGAACTGCATAGAGGTTCTTGTGCTAAGGGTATGGCTTCTTCAGTTTGAATATTTTCTTGTCATCATCTGTTTTGCACACATTGTCTTGCTGCGTCATTTCATTGTTTCTTTTTATTGAGCAAGGCTGCCAGACCTGAAGGCAAATCTTTGACTTTATTCAAACTTATAGATATTGTAGCACAGCAGGAGCTAATTTAATTCTTGCCAATTCTCTGAAGCTATCTGGTCAGACATGTTTCCCAATGGCCTTGCCAATTCATTTCCCCCAAGTGCCCCCCTTTCAGATCTTTTCTGAACAACTTGTAATTTCTGCTGTACACAGCTAGTTTTTCATTCCAGGTTTTCTTTTAATTGAATCCCAGTTTCACCATTTTCCATGCCGAGATTCAACTCCATGTCCGCTGGTGTTCTGTGTTACTAACCCAGTGACACTACCACTACAGTACCACCACCCCTTCAAGATCAGAAATCAGTTTGGCTAGAGTTAAGGACTATGAAAAGAGCAATTAAATCCATACACTGCTAATTCTTAGAGGAACTAATCTGTAAGGAAATTAGATTTGTAAACCTCATTGAATGATCATCTGTGTATAGACTGGGTTAATGAGCAAGGGTGCAGAAAAGATTTACAAGGATGTTGCTGGGGTTGGAGGGTTTGAGCTACAGGGAGAGGCTGAATAGAATGGGGCTATTTTCCCTGGAGCGTCAGGGGCTGAGAGATGACCTTAGAGGCTTTAAAAGTCATGAGGAGAATGGACAAGGTGAATAGCCAAGAGGTAAAAAGGTGTAGAGCTGGATGAACACAGCAGGCCAAGCAGCATCACAGGAGCAGGAAGGCTGACGTTTCGGGCCTAGACCCTTCCCAAAGTCTTTTTCCCAGGGTAGGGAAATACGAAATTAGGAAGCATAAGTTTAAGGAGAGAGGGGTAAGATTTAAAAGGGACCTAAGAAGGAACTTTCCATGCAGCAGGTGTTGTGTGTATGGAATGAACTGCCAGAGGAAGTGGTGGAGGCTGGTACAATTACAACATTTAATAGGCATCTGGGTGTGCGTATGAATAGGAAGGGTTTAGAGGGATATAGGCCAAACACTGGCAAATGGAATTAGATGAATTTAGGATATCTGGCTGGCATGGATAAGTTGGACCAAAGGATCTGTTTCCATGCTGTACAACTCTATAACTGAAGCTTCTCATTTCTGGAACCATTCTTGTAAATTGCTCTGCACTCTGTCCAATGCTAAAATGTGGGGCACATTTTCGAGTTGTAACTGTACATAATACAATTTAGATGAGGCCTAACTAATATTTTGTACAAAATGAGCATTGCGTCCTTGCTCTTGTATTCTATGCCCTCACTATTACAGCTAAGAACATTGCATGCTCAGTAACTGCTCCCTCCACCTTTCAGATAGATTTCAATTATCTATGCGCATATGCACCAAAATCTCTTGATTCCTGCAACCTTTTAGAATTTTCCCCCAATTTTATTGTTCTTCAATGTTGTTCCAACCAAAGTACATCACCTCATTGGCTACCTATCCACTCACTCCACCAACTTGACCATGCCACTTTCAAGTTTCACGCTGTTGTCTTCAGTTTATAATTCTTCCAGTTTTGGCATCCTCTGCCTAAGATCTGAAGGTGAACTGCACTAGCCATATAAATACAATAGCTATGAAAGCAGTTCAGAGATAAGGAACTTTGTACTGTTTAAGAATCACAGAACTGTTACAGCTCAGAGGGCATTCATTGAGGAGTAACCGTTTCCTCCATCCCCAAAGTCTGTTCACCACCTACAATGAATATGTCAAGCATAGCTTGGAATAATCCCCACTTGCCTGGCAGACAGAAGGTCCAAAATACTCAAGAAGCTTCATAAAATGTTGTGGTTGGTTAGCTCACCGAATTGGTTTGTTGTTCTGCAGACGTTTCATTACCCTGCTGGGTAACATCATCAGTGCAGCCTCCGATGAAGGGCCGGTGTGTTTTCTCGCCTGGTTTTTAAACTCTGGAATCCATTGAGCTGGAACAACAAATCAGCTTGGCGAGCCAACCAACCACAACACCAACAACCAGAACTACACATCTACTCCAAAACCTTAGAGCTTGATATTCCAAAACAAAACAAGCTGGTAAATTGGCACTCCATCAAATACCTGCAACATTCATTCTCTTCACCACATCACTCGAAGATATCACTGCAGGAGTTCCTCAGCTTCGGCCCTTCGCCTATGGCCTAGGCCCAACCATGCTTCAATGCTATTTCCTTTACCATAAAGGTCAGGAGTGGGTTGTTAGATTGTGATTGCACAATATTCAGTGTCATTCAAAATTCCTCTGGTTATGAAGCAGTCAATATCCGTATACTGGTCTATCTCCTAACTTGAACAGATAAGTAACTATATGCCACTCAAGTGCCTGGCAATATCCACATCAAAGAGACAACCAGTGATGGTTGGATTGCCTATCAATAACAACACAGCAGCATCCTCAGTCAATAAGCTAGAGCTTACTATTGACAAATAACTGAAAGGAACACAAATACAGTTATCGCAATAGCAGGTCACAGGCTGGAAATTCTTTGGTGCATAAAACAATCTGTGCCTTTTCAAAAGCCTGTACTCTACTTACAATGCACAACAAGATCAAGAATGGTCAAATATTCTCCACTTGCTTGAATAAGTGCAGCTCCACGAGATTCTAGAAGACTAAATCCATCTTTAAATATTTACTGTCTTCATCACTGATTCCTACGGGCAGATGTTTGTAGAATCAATCACCAACTGCATTTTTATTAATCTGTCCCCCAGCTCCAGCCTGTCTAACTCTGGATCCAAATACAGCACATCCCCAACTCATCCTGTCTGAGGACCGGACCAGTGTGAAACATGGAGACAAACGTCAGTCAGTCCCTGACTCACCAGAGAGATTCAATTCCTGGCCCTGTGTCCTAGGAATGGAAGGATTCACATCTGGGAGACACTATTGGGAAGTCGATATTGCAAACAAGACTCAATGGAGTCTGGGAGTGGCCAGAGAATCTGCTGAGAGAAAGGGGAAAATTGACCTTAAACCTGAAGTGGGATACTGGATTGTCTGGCTCGAGTCTGGAAGCTTCTTTTCGGCACTAACTGCACCTTCCTTAACCTCTCTTCCACAAAGTGAGAATTTCCGGACAATTGGAGTTTTCCTGGACTATGAGGGCGGACAGGTGTCATTTTACAATGCGGAGAACATGTCCCATCTCTACACTTTCACCCACACTTTCACTGAGACGATCTTTCCCATCTTCTTTCCTGGATTGAATGCTGGTGGCAGCAACTCTGCACCACTGAAAATCTGTGGTGTTAAATTCAGTAATATATCCATCCTATAATATCACCGTTCCCTTGCCTCCTGTCAGCTCTAAACTGATGAGGGTCAGTCTCAGTCACAGTTGGTGAGAGAAGGCGTGTTAACATTCCGGGAATAAACCCTGTCTCAGAACTGGGAATTGAAAGATCAGCAAGGAGCTTTATCGGGCTGGGAGAGAAAATAAGGAGAGAGAAGTAACAAAACAAGTTCAACTGTAGTGAGGAAATCATTAGGTAAAACGAGCTACGAACTGCAGGCAAACAAAAACAATTAGCTGGAGAAATTCAGCAGATCTGGCATCAAAGTCACTGGATTCGAAAACTCAACTGTTTTTCTCTCCACGAATGCTACCAGATCGACTGAGTTTCTCCAACTGTTTCCGTTTTTGTTTCTTTCAGATTTCCAGCACCTGCAATTCTTTGTATCATGTATGAACTGCAGGAGGCCAGCCCCTTACTGTCTTTAATGTTGATTGACTGGCGGCAGTGGCACTACATGACGGTGTTGCAGATGAATCAGTCAGTGGTTCTCAGACTGGGCTCAGTGGAGTCTTTCCAGAGGGACACCAAATCATTTCACTGCAGGGTTAATGGAGTATTTCTAAGGGGACACCAAAAAAACAAAATCACTACAGAAAGTAGAAGGACAAGGGGGAAAGGAAGATAGGCAGGAAAATAAGTGTTAAGCATTGTATAAATTATCAAACTTGACTGATCACTTTTCATCAGAAGCTGTCAAGTTTTCCACCTCAAAGTTGCCCATTTACCACCCCTAGCGAACAGCCAAATTCTTGACCTCCTGCCAGTGTTGAGGTTTTTGATCTGATTTGATTTATTGTTGTCATATGTACTCAAGTACAGCAAGATGTTTTGTTTAGCAAATAGTACAGGAAGATCAGAAAATACAAGGACATGCAGATTAAGGGGTGCTGAGACAGAGTGAGGCATACAAGGTTATGGCACACAAAAGGTCAGCATAAGATTTGAACTTAGAGATTTCCAGTCAACATTCTAATAACAGCAGGGAAGAAGCTGTTCTTGAACCTGATGGTGCATGTGTTCAAGTTTCTGTATTGTCTGCCTGACGGAATTGGTTGAAAGAGAGCTTTTACCAGAGACTCTTGAATTTACATTCACAAGGGGGTGGTGGGAGACCAGCTGCTGCTGTGGTACTGGGATATATTCAATTCTACTCAGGTAGTGAGAGATTGCCACCCTCATGCTGCCTTTTCTGCTGAGTAGTTCCTAGATTTTTCATTCATGTTTAAAATCCAGTTGGTTTGTGGCTTGTAATAGCGGCTATGCTGTCACTCCAACTTGGTCGAGACTCTCAACATTCTGCCACAATGTGCATTCCTTGCAAGATTAAAAACACAAATTGGACTGGGTTTACAGGAGTCTGGATGTATTGACGAGGATGTCAATCTCAAATGGGTATTAATACACTAAAAATTAACAGGAAGGAAGCTCATGTTTTTATGGCAGTTTACATAATACATACAAATATAGGAAACAATCTTGAGGCTGTTTAAGCGTTGATATTGCTGTCAATACAAACCTGTCATCTTGTCCGATTTGAATGTGATGTGTGAGCAGATCAGGTGTAAATGTAAATAATCGTTAATCTCAACTACATTGAAATAGTTCAGTTGTTATACATTACGCTTCTAACAGAATCGTTGTTTAATTTCTCTCTGATTTTTTCTGGACTGTCTCATCATGACATGCATCAGTGAAATATTCCATTAATCATTCCTGTGAAATTACTTGCTTTGTTACAAGTAATATTGATGTTTTCTTTACATGTATCCTTTAATTTATGGTTATTATATAGAGAATTGATATTTACTTTTACAGTTTATGTTTCTTAATATATTTGTAAAGGTGCATTTAATGAAAATAATCCTGGAATAGAAATGAATCTTTTTCAATAAAATACTTCATGAAAAATCTACCAAACAGAACCTCAATATGTTGTTTGCTTATTTGCAAATAAGCAAGGAAATGTATCATCTTTACCTAGTCTGGCCTACATATGACTCAACAGTCAACCACATTACTGTGGGCCTAAACTGCCCTCTGGGCAATTAGGGATGGACAATAAATGCCGGCCTAGCCAGTGATGCCCACACCCCATGAATGAATAAAAAATTTAACCAGACTTTGGATCCTTACAAAATCTCTTCCAATTAATCCAGAAAAGCTGAAGTATATTCAAGCGGAGGATGGAGTACCATAGACCATAAGATAAAGGAGCAGAATTTGGTCATTCCACCTATCAAGTCTGCTCCATCATTTGATCATGTCTGATATATTTCTCAACCCCATTCCATTGCCTTCTCCCAGTAACCCTTGATCCCCTTATTAAATCAAGAACTTATCTATCTCAATCTTAAATACACTCAATGACTTGGCTTCCACAACCCTCTACAGTAATGAGTTCCACAGATTAACCACCCATTGGCTGAAGAAATTCCTCCTCATCTCAATTCTGAAATGTCGTCCCTTCACTCTGAGGCAGTGTCTTCAGATCATAGCCTCTCCTAATTGTGAAAACGTCTTCTCCACATGCACTCTATCCAGGCCTCTCAGGCCTGTACATTACAATCAGATCACCCCTCAACCTTCTAAATGCCATCGAGGACAGATCCAGAATCCTTAATCGCTCTTCGTACGACAAACCCTTCCTCTGTGGGATCATTTGTGTCGGCTACTTCTGGGCCTCTTTCAATGGCAGCACAATCTTTCCTTCAATATAGGACCCAAACCTGTTCACAAGATTCCAACTGCAGTCTGATGTGAGCCTTATACATCTCTACTTTTGCATTCCAGCCCACTGAAATGAGTGCCAACATTGCATTTCCCTTCCTAACCTCCAAATGAATTTGCATGTCAAGGTTAAGAGAATTCTGAACTAGAACTCCCAATTACCTTTGTCCTTCAGATTTCTGAAGCCGTTTCCAGTTTGGAAAATAGTCTGTCTTTCTATTCTTCCTACCCAAATGCAAAATCTCACACTTTGCCACATTGTATTCCATCTGCCACTTCTTTGCTCACTTGCCTAGCATGTCCAAGTCTTTCTGCAGCCTCCTCACTTCCTCAACACTACCTGTGCCTCCACCTATCTTGTGTTATCTTCAAACTTAGCAATAATGCGTCAGTTTCTTCATCCAGATCATTACTGTACAATGTGAATAATGGTGGTTCCAGCACTGACCCATGTAGAATTCCACTAGTCACCAGCTGCCATTCTGAAAAAAATTCTCACTCTCTGCTTTCTGCCAGTCAACCAATCCTCTGTCCATGCCAGTATATTGCCCCTAACACCATGGGCTCTCATGTTATTTAAGAGTCTCCTGTGCAGAACCTTGTTAAAGTTCTTCTAGAAATCCAAATAGATCATGACCACTGGCTCTCGTGTCTAACTTTTGTTACCACCTCAAAGAATTCTAACAGATTTATCAGACATGACCTCCTCTTGTTGAAGCCAGGCTGATTCAGCCTTATTTTACTGTACACATCCAAGTTCTAAACAATCTCATCCTTATTAATTGACTCTAAAACCTTACCAATGACGGCAGTCAGGGTAACTGGCCTGTATCTTGCCTTTTGCCTCCCTCCCTTCTTAAACAGGAGTGTTATGTTAACCCTCCCCTGACTCCAGTGATTCCTGAAAGATCACCACCAATGCCTTTACAATCTCCTCAGCTATGCCTTTCAGAACTCTCAGCTGTACTCCATCCAAATGATTTATCTACCTTCAAGTCTTTCAGGTTCCTCAGCACCTTCTCCTTAGTGATAACCACTACACTCACCCAACCCTCTTGAAGTCGATATGTTGCTGGTGTCTTGCAACGTGAAAACGGATGCAAAGCATCTATTCAATTCTTCCACCATTTCTTTGTTCCCCTTATTACTTCTCCGGCCTCATTTTCCAGTGGTCCAATGTTCACTATTGCCTTCACTTGCCTTTTATATATCAACAAAAGCTCTTGCAATCTTCTTTTATATTACTGGCTAGTTAATCCCCTGTTTCATTTTCTCCCCCCTTACTGTTTTTTTAAGTTATCCTCTGCTGGTTTTTGAAAGCTTCCTAATCCTTTGTCTTTCTAGTAATCTTCATCATATTCTATGCTTTGTCTTTTGCTTTTATGCTGTCCCTGACTTCCCTTATCTGCCATGATTGCTGCATCATCCCCTTGATATGATTCTTCTTCTTTGGGAAGGATTTCTGCCGGACTTGTTTGCCTACATAAATGCCTACTATTGCTGCTCCACCATCTTCCCTGCTAGACTTCCCTCCCAATGAACTCTGGCCAGCTCCTCTTTCATCTCTTTGCAACTATCTTTACTCAATTGTAATACCATTGCATCTGACTTAATCTTCTTCCGTGAATTCTGTCAGGCTATGTTCCATGGCCCCTAAGGGTTCCTTCACCTATCTAATCAATTTTGCCTCATTACACATCACTAAGTCGAGTTCCCTATTCCCTCATGGGCTCCACCACAAGTTGTTCTTAAAAAAAAGCATCTTCCAAGATAGCCTTTTCTTGAGATCTGCTACAAACCTTATATTCCCAGTCCAGCAGCATATTGAAATGGTGCCTTTCTTACATGTCTTTTCTATCTCCTGATTTATTTTCTTCCCTGAATCCTGATTACTGCTAGGAGGCCGGTACATACCTCCCATCAGGGGCATTTTTCCTTGTGGTTCCTCAACTTTATCCACACTGATTTGACATCTTCTGACTAAATCACTTCTTGCCATTGATTTAATTTCATTTTTTACTTACAAGGCAACCCTGCCCCCTCTGCCTGTCCTTCCGATAGTACATGTATCCTTAGACACTTCTTTCCCAGCCCTGATCCACTTACAGTGATGTCCCTGTGATACCCAAAACATTGTGGCAGCCAATTTCAATGCATTCTACAAGGTCATTTTCCTTTTTTCATAGTCATGCATTTAAGTACAACGCCCTCAGTCCCCCATTGATTGCCCCATTTCCTTAGAGTTATCCTCTAATCTCCAATGCCTGAAGTCAAAATTCTGACCCTTTCAATATTCTTTGTCCTATTTCGTGTTTTGGAAACTTTTACCTCTGCTGAGCCTTCTGCCCTCCCCCCTTTAAATTTTTCCATAATATTCCATGCAACTTCCACCCCTTCACTATTTAGGTTTAAAGTCCTATGCAACACCTTAGTTATGCAATTCCAAAGGACTCAGGCTCAATCATGATTCAGGTGGAGCCTGTCCCATCAGAACAGATCCCATCTTTCCTTAGCACTGGTGTCAATGTCCATGAATTCGAATTTGTTTCTCCACTAAATTATTGAGCCTAAATGTGTTTACCTTGATAATCTTGTTGACCCATGCCAATTGCTTCTTGGCTCAGATAGTAGTGTGGGAGATGATTACCTTTCTGGTTCCACTTTTCTGATTTAACATCGAGCTGTTTATGTTCTCTCAGCAGAACCTCTTTCCCCTTTCTACCTACATCATTAAAACCTACATGGACCACAACAACTGCACCTTTCCTCTCCCACTCCAAATTCCTGTGCTGCCCACAGGAGATATGCTGAACTCTGGAACCAGGCGGGCAACAGAACCTTTGGGACTCCTGATCCTAGCCACAAAGAACAGTCTCTTCCCCTGAATATACTATCCAGATTACAACTACATTTCTTTTTCCACTCCATCTTGAATGGCTTCCTATACTGTGGTGCTATGTCGCTTTGCTCAAACTCTCAACAGCTCCCACAATTCTCCACTTTTTTATTTCACAAATATAATGTTTTCATAAAAAGTCTTTATATACATACAGTCACTAGAGCAGTTTGATTCTGTACAAAGTTTGTACATATGCAGAACAAACAGGGTCAAGGCATTTCTTACCCATACAATTGAGGCACTGGAAGGATCTGATAATTCAACGGATCCCCACTTAAGTTTGGCAGGAAGCCCTTATACATGGCCTTTCCCCACTGCCACTTGGCGGCAGCTGCCCCAAGCTTTAGTGCATCCCTCAGCATGTATTCTTGGACCTTGGAATGTGCCAGTTTGCAATACTTGGTCAAGGTCAACTCTTAGTGTTGGAAGACCAACAGGTTCGGGCAGACCAAACAGTGTCTTTCAGTGAGTTGGTCGTCCTCCAGGCACAGTCGATGTTTGTCTCAGTGTGTGTCCTGGTGAACACACTATAGAACACATGAGTCCTGCATCACAGAGCTGCTCCGGGTGAACCTCGACAAAAATTATTGTATCTCTCTCCAGACATCCTATGCAATGGCACATTCATCCACACAGGAAGCAAGAATCTCAAACCTGTTAAACAGGGCTGTGACTCATTCAGCACTACCTCCTGGATCCCTCTGCTTGTTTCACTTGTAATCATACCCTCCTGTCACTGACCACTGATCGAATGTGAGGTGGTTTATCTAAAGGGTGTAAATGCCTCCTGAAACACAGCATCCAGGTAACTCTCCTCCCACCCACCAGCTCATTGACTGAGTTGGAGTTCCTCAAGCAACCAACACTTACTACAGAGATAGTAGGAACTACAGATGCTGGAGAATCCGAGACAACAAGGTGCAGGGCTGGATGAACACAGCAGGCCAAGCAGCATCATAGGAGCAGAGAGGCTGACGTTTCGGGCCTAGACCCTTCATCAGAAAAGGGGGAGGGGAAGGGGGTTTTGAAATAAATAGGGAGAGAGTGGGAGGCGGATAGAAGAGGGATAGAGGAGAGGATAGGT